GTGACTAGCTTCCATGAGCCGATCTTTACCCGATATGAAGCTCCAGTGCTAAGCAGTATCCGTCAAAATTTGCTATATGTTACAACTGCAGTAATATTGTGATATTCGTTGTAATCAGTTTTCAAATTTTGTTTAATTTCTACACAATAATAAAAAAATAATCGAATTGCTGAGTCTAATGTGTTTATTTATTTGTTTAGCAACAACTGCTATCTTTCCCAATTATTCGAATTATTTAATGATTAACTGAAAGTCACTGTAATAATTTCTGGCAGTCATAGTGACCAGTCTCAGTTCTTTTAGCTAGAAGCATCTGTCGGGAAAACCTGTGCTGTTAATGACAAAAACCTGTGGTGAACAATGCAAAAAACACATGTTCGTATCGGCAGTCGGTGCGTACACCAGTTATTGCGTATTGTCTTCTTGAAAGTCCGGTGATTATTATTTCCTGTCTTGCGTATGACGACCAGCAAGGAGGGGCAGACAACGGGTCAATCGACTGACTTGTGACGGTGAGATAGTCCTCCCAAGCAGTGTTGTTGCAATGCATAGTGAAAATTGATCAGTCGAAGAATATTTCGTCAAGAAGCGAATTTTCTATTTTTCGGTGCACAGTGTCTTCATTAACGGTATATCTTTAACCGCAGACCAGCGCTTATGGCACAATTTGGAGCAGTACATAGATAGAAGCCCATAGGAATTACTGGCAATTCGCTGTCATTTTCTTTTTCAGAAGACAGGGCGGCATTACAACACCGGTGTGTCTCATTCCGCCTAAGACATATTTGTGCAGATAATCGAGGGATGAAAACTAAGCCAATGCTTCCCATCTATAAAATACACATCTTTTAATGCGCAACTTATTCATAGGCAAATCCAGGGTGGTTTCCTGGAAGAGAGGGGGGAAGGGGCGATTTTCCACTTCACCTTCTTCGTTCGTCACTACACCCCCTCCCCTTTCGGGTAGCTCCCAACTCACCCTTCACTCGCCGCCCCCCCCCCCCCCCCCCCCCCC